TTGCAAAGAACAATTTTTCCAACTATTTAGTTGGTATAATAAAAGATATCACTCAAAGAACCTTGTCTGCCTATGTGCTTAGTCCAACATGGCTACAACCAACAACTCTAAATCTTGTTGAATTTGATGCTTTGGCTCCTCTATTTGTAAAAAATATGTAAGAATCTCACTTTTATTTAAAAAAGATAGTTCCTACTTACTTCAGCACTCATAGTTGCAGAGATAATTTTGAAAACATGACCTGAGTATGACCTAAAAGCTCAAAAAACTAGGACAGCAAAAAAAGAACCCCCCAGTTTAAATAAAATTTTATATTGTTTAAGCCAGTGTCATGATGATTTTTGGAGGTCTGACTCATGATTTTTAATTGGTCACAGTTGGTTGTACAGAATTTCATGTCCTGCCTTTCTCATTTCAACTGTAAGACTTCAGGAAAGACAACTACCATCTAATGGGTGAAATATAGTGGAAAAGCACGGGAGAAGAGCCAGGGGTTGGGAAATTTCACTGGGGTAGCGGAAGAGGAGTACATGAGCTGGAGGAGGGAAGCCTTTGTGAAACAACTGTGGAAAGAGGCTGTAGTGCAGTGGGAGTGCTGCAACACGTGGTCTTCATGTAGTTTTTCACATGCATCGTCTCAGTAGACTGGAGGGCTATAAGCATAGCCAGCAGATCTTTACTGTACTAGGGTATGTTGGCAAGGGATTAGCATGGGAAACTTCATGATTCTTATGCTGCCAACATAGACACTGTGGGTGGAATACCACCAAAGGGAGAGGAATATTGTTTTGGAGAGCTTCATCGTTAGAAACAAAATAAAGCTATAATGAGAGATGTTCCCTCCTTCCTCCACGTGCAGTTACTATGGATCAGATTTAATTCTGAAAGACTAACTTTGTCTTAGCTCTTCTGAAATGGACACTCCAGACAGGATGCAAGAAATTTACTAGTCCGAGAGTGTATTAGCACAAAAGTAAAAAATTCTGCTTGAAGGTTCAAGGCTTCTATTCTAGGAACTAACTGCACAAATATTATACATTATTTCCCTTTCCACTGATGCATTAGCTTTCAGCTTACATCTGCAAGACCCAACAATCATAAATAAATCCCTCCTTCAGTTCCCTCAACTTCTTTTGGCTCGCCTTGTCTTTTGCAATCTGGGTTACCATTCATTCCCTTGCTCACCTGTGATGAGGTTGTCCACTAGGGTGGTTGGCATACAAAAGATCCCCACCAGCAGGTCACTGATGGCCAAGTTGAGGATGAACATGTTGGTGACGGTTCGCATCTGCCGATTCTTCAGCACAATGAAGCACACCAGCATGTTGCCAATCATGCACATGAGGAAAATGAAGATATAGGCTAGGATGAACATAGCAGCGATGGGGGAGGAATGTTGGTAGTAAGATGAAAAAGTGTAGTTGTCCTTGAACACATGGCTGCTGCTTTCATTCTTGGAATAGGGTAAACTGGTGTTGGAAGGAAGGAAAGTACTACCTAAAGAAAAGAAGAGAGAATAATAAACTCATGAAGTCTCAGTATGGTAAAGCTATTGTTTGCTTAACCTCAGCCTTTTATAAGGCTCTTGGGGGAGTTTATTTATAATATTTTTTTACTCATGTTTTTATGTTGAATAAAATTAATTAAAAATACCCCAACAGGGGTGAAAAGAATGACAATGTAGAGTAAATAGCTTTGGCAGAAAAAAAATGAGTTAGCAAGGTTTTTTTCTCCAAGGATCAATGTTTATGAAGCAAGTATAATGTGCTAGAGGTTCACTTGAGTCTAGAAGCTCACCAAGGCAAGCTGCGTGTGAAACCAAACAATGCACAAAAAAAAATCAAAGAAAGGGACAGATAGATTAGGAAATTATGAATGATAAACTGCTTTTCTTGCAGTTTGTCTCAAACTGGCAGAGACAAAAATCAAAGTAAGGTGCTTTGCATTTTTTTCAAATAGAAGTCTTAGAATACATAGTTGTAATATCGTGCAGCAAATATTGATTTCTTACTGGCTTAAGATTGGGAAGTTTAGCAAATATAGTTAAATGTCTGCTTAGTCTACTTGGCAGAAGCTGAAGGCCAGAATATCATTATAGAGAGGCTCAGAATTTCTATTTTTACATTAGCAAAGCTTAGGTACCAAAGAGTTGAGGAAAGAAAGGGGAGGTAGGTATCAGGATACAACTCTTTCTAAAGATCTTCCCCAGGACAGTTAAGAGCCCCATACCTGTCACTCACCAGTCTCTGCAGCACCCCTCTACTCAAAAGAGCCTCTGCTACAGTTCCATTATGCATATAAGACTCCTAAGTACACCAAAGGGGAGAGCTATTGTTGGTAGTTTGTGGAGAATCAGATTCAAGTGCCATTAAGCTTTTCCTTGCTAACCCCAGCTCAAAGAAAGGAGCTGGTAGGTAGGAGATGGAGCTATGGCCTAGGGACCTCAAAGCCAGGGCCAGGATCTGAATTTCACTACACTGCTCGACATATATTAAACACTGTGATGTTGAGATCTAAATGGAGAACCTGTTTTGAAAGCTGTCTCTTGCTCTGCCCAGCACTTGAGGTGCCTCTGGGCTGTAAACATTCAGGAATTAGGTATTTCAAGGGGTCTTTCCTTTCCTCAGTGTCATCCCCTTCATCTTGTTTTGACATACATTTTGGTAGTATTTTCAGTTCCCAAAGAGTGGTACTGCAAGTGGTACTGCAACCCATACAGCTAAACCAAAAATTTCTTCTAACATGCCCAGTGCTTCTTCTTCCATAACAACAAAAACATTCATATTATTTTCTTTTTGAAGCCTACAATATGCTTTTAAACCAATTAAGCAGTAGGGGACCTTGCAAGAACTCTTTCCTTTGAGGTTAGAGAAACAGATCGCCCATTTTTTAGCATCCCCTGGAGTGCACTTCTGATAATGGCCACCCACGCTCCCTACTGCCTTTATTTAATTAGGGTTGTTTGAAAAACAAGAGGGACCCTGGATGGAAATCTAACCCCACAACAGTGATGGAGAGCTCTTCCCCCCTGCAGCTAGTTTGTGTTCTCCACACTCCACAGAAGGGTCTACAGTGTAATGCAGCTGAGCCCTGAAGGCCAGCTATGTCACAGGAACACTACAGTAGGCTTCAGCCACAGCCACAACATCGAACTCAATCACAGCTTTCATATTTAAAAATAGAAAGTGCATTCCTTCTGAACTGTTTAATGCTCAGAGCTCCAGGTAGGGCATGTGGGGTGATAGTCTGGGTTGGCAGGCTTTGAGAAAGACATGATACTGATAGGTTCATCCTTAGCTGTATTTTGATGGAGGATGCACCTTCTATTGCTCAGTTTTTTTCCCTTCCAGATGATACACAAAGCAGCTGGATGGGCTGAGCATGGGGCCCAGTATAAGTAATGGAAGGACACCCACTGACCTCTCTGGACACTAGATCAGGCCCAGCCTGTGCCTCTGGCTCTGCTTATCCCCTTCTCATGCCTTCCATCTCCTGGATGTGTTGTACTTTATTGGCACTGCTTCCAGGCCACATACTGGAAGCTGATGAGAGGTGCCATGAACAAATATGTCCTTTGCAACTGCATGAGGTAATTCCTCATGACTAGCACTGTTTTTTTGCCAAGCCTTTAGGCCAACACAGGGGTCTAAATTGCGAACAGGTTGATTCTTATGGTCACTGCTAGAGATAAAATATTTCTGAATCCATAAGGAAAATAAAACTATTAAGTGTTTCTTCTAAAACAAATTTCTCACAGGGATGTTTTCAATACAGAAAGGAAAACTGTCTATACAAAATGTGGTGAGTATTCTCAAGCAAATATTTGCTCAAAATCTGTTACAACTCGACACCATCACTGATGATAGTGCACCTGTTTCAGCCACTACAAATATAACCTCTCTCAGGGATTCCTGGCAAGGATATTGGCTCTAGTGTGCATTGGTTGCTTAACTACCTTGAGTTTATTTTAATTTATTAGACTCCCATCTAAGCAGTCTAAGAAAGAGAAGGTGTTGTAGTATGTTTCAAGTGAGGTCATGGGTGACTGGTGCCTCCTGAATCTGGGGGGGCACCTGCAGAAGCTGCCGACAGCGGCGGCCCTGTCAGAGGGGGTATCGGCCCTGCCAACAGCATCAGTGTCAGCTGTCAGAGGGGCACTGGCCCCGTTGTGGGGCATGTGCACTTCCGTGCACCCTCTACCAGTTACCTATGGCTGAGGCGGACAAGGAAAAACTATGGGCTGCATGGACATGGTTTTAATTATCAGGTAACATTTCCCAGCAATTCCACCCCTCCTCCCCTTACACATTTATCAGCTTTTTTCTAAAATACAGAGGGCCTGATTATGGGCTGCAAAGACCTCTGCCTGAAATTCTCAACAATGCTGTCTCCTCCTTTTGTGGAAATTAGCAGGAGGTCTCTTTTTATCGATACCATCTCATTCTGCATTGACATTCTTTGTATTTACATCCATTCTGTCCATCCCCTGCTGTTCTTGTCAGCACAGGGAGTATGTCTCTGTATCAGTGTGCTGCTTCTTTCTCACTTCTGAGAATTGCTTTTGGTCTTGTACTGAGCTACCACTACCCCCTACCTTGCGGTTCTATTTATACTTGTACAGAAATGAGGAGTGTATGAGGCCCCTGAAAGGCTTGGTCTCAACAAGGATATTCTTCAGTTTGCAAACCATGTGCCTGCAAGGTCTTCTTAAAGAACAGGCTTCCAATCAAGCAACTGCCCTACCTGTACTGGATTAATGATATCCTTTTATCCGTGGACTAGTCTATTCTTTCAGGGGCTTTCTACATGCTCCTTCACCCACTTATAACTGTGCGCCAATTAGGCGCCAAAGACCTGGTTCCCTGCTGCCTCACACATTGTGTTGCCATGTACACCTGTACCAAAGGTGTACAAATGGCTACCAATCTCATTTAGGAGTGTTTTACACTCATACTTTTAAATAAGAAAATCAGCTACTCAGAACATTGCCCAGAAAGAACAGGGTGTGGACTAGAAGATTTCTCTCCCTGCCTGGCACTAGTTCACACTTCAGCAGAAGACAGTTTTCAGCAGTAAAATCCTAGGTGAGTCCCAGATTATGGATTCTTTAGTCCAGTAGGTTGGGTGTAAGCTAGGTAGGTAAGCTAGGTAGGTAGGTTGGGTGTAAGCTTTTGTTTTCCAGCTTGTTTTCTTTCCTTTGTTACTCTTGAGAGCTTTGAGAGTTCCAAAAGGAGTAGGTTCTTGCAGGACTCAGCTAGGAGGCTGTATCTCCCATTCCTGAATCTGAGCTGATGGTTCAGGTACCAGGGACTCGAGGCTGAGTGAGTGCAGAGCTTTGTCACACCCTAAAATGGCACCCTGGGAAACCAAGCCCATGACAAGTTGATTGAAAATAAAGGATCTTTTCTAGCCCATGGGATGGACCTGGACTGGTGACTGAAACAGCTGGAAGGAAACTACAAGAGCATCAGCATCAACTGCTGCAAAATTATTGTCTCATTGGTGCAGGAACCGATTAACTAGTAGCAAGACCAGCAGCAATAAATAATGCTACAGGTGCTGGCATTTCTACAGACTTCGAAAGCCTCACCCTCTGGACCTACAGGTGCTCCTACTACATTTTGCTTTGCATGTGAACATCCTAGTTTCTTCACTTGCATGGGATGTGCTTACAGATAGATCAGGACCAGGGAAACTGGGTCTGTGAGGAAGGCCCTGCCAAAATGATTATCCTGTACAGAGTAATGAGACAAAGGAGCAGGCTTGGTTCATACATCCTGTACCCAGACCATAGCCCAATATCAGGTGATGCAAGTGATGGATACCCCCAGGACAATTATTTTCCTACAATGTGTCCACACTGATATGAAAACCTGCCCCAGTAGGTGCAGAGAGCCAGCCATAGCACACAGGAGCTCTCAGCATGGATCTGGTCCTGACACTCACTCATTTGTTTAACAGGGGTTGGGAACAGGAAAGCTTCATAGAAATGAGGATGGAGTGGGGCAACCATTTGTCCAAAGAAACTGCCCTAGATAGAGAGACAAGGGCCACTGAAGAACTTGGTCACACTAGCGAAAGGGAAGGATCCTGGCCAAGAGAACTCCAGTTCTTCAGGGTTCCCTTTCTCACTCTCAATCAAACAAAGACCTGGAAATGGTCCCACTACTGGAAATCAATGTCCTGAACCAAGACACCAATTTGGTCCAAGAACAATGGGATGGTCAGGCACCAAGCTGAGCATATGAAGAGCTGGCACTAGTGAATGGGGAGGTCTCAAGTCCTCATTGAGCAAGGGAGTGGTCTTGTATTGAAATTTGACGTAAGATGATCTATCACATTGAACAGAATAGCTGGACAGGAAAGCTAGGAGCTCAGCTCTCTGGCATCACAGGAATCCAACTGAGAAGTCTTACACTCCTGCTGTCTCCTTGGATAAAGGTAAAATCCTAGGTATGGTATTGGCCTGTTTTTTTTGGCCTGATAGTACAGGGAGA